AAAAAAGAAATGAAAATAAAATAATCAAAACTCTATTTAAAAAATTGCACATGTTAGTAATTATTACGCCAGTTATTTACATTTCCATGAATCTGGGGCACTAAATCTATATTTCAGGGCTGCCGTGGCATAATACAATAGGCAAATTATAAACAAAATAGCATGGGGATCTACAAAACAAATAAGATCAACAGGATAATATAAAACTGACTAAATGTTGTAATAACATATAGCACTTGTACAATCTGTAAGATCTGAAAATAAACAAAATGCAAACAAACAAGAACTATACCTGACGTTTGTTCAATGGCCCTGTTAATTCAGTGACATTTTCAGTTATGATTAGCTGATGCATAAACACATAGTAAAATGGAAATGTTTGTGTTTACACCTCTGCTGTCAGGAGTCAAACTGTGACCAAAAACAGCTCCAGTCGGCACAACTTGTGTTACTTTACTCCTGTAGTTCCTACTTGTATGTCATTTATTACATTCTCCTGAACATGTTTCTGTACACGTGAAATATGATAGTCTATACATAATAGGAATGTAGATGCTTACATACTCATGTAAATCACTCTGAGTTTACCTTTGATTAAATGTGCTACAACAGTAAAATGGGTGTTTCCTTTACTCTGCTGCCCTCTGCTGGCTCCTCGGACACACCGCTGCACACCGGGTGTAATGCAGTACCATGTACTGTAGTAGTACAAGTCAAAGTTATGGTAGTAGTGGTTTAAAAAAGGTTTTGGCAATGGTGGAAAAAGTATTCACATCTTTTCCATAACTAAAAGTACTAATACCACAGTGTAAAATATTCCACTACAAGTGCTACATTTAAAATACAACTTAAGTAAAAATAAATAAACATTATAAAATAAATGTACTTAAAAGTATCAAAAGTAATAGTACTCTACTCATGTGCTACTACTACTTTGCTACTCTACTCTACTACCTTCTACTCTACTGCTTTTACCAGGCACTAATACTACTTTGCTCTACAGTATTACTACTACTCTACAGTACTACTTTAGAGTAGAGTAGAGCAGTAGCAGTGCTTGGTAACAATAGTAGAACAGAGCAGATTAGAGTAGAGTACACTAGAGTGGAGTAGTAACAGTCCCTAGTAGTAATATGCTACTACAGTCGGTGGCGTGTGAATCAGTGCGTTGCTTCAGCCGCTGGAGGGCAGCAGTGTGAAGGTTTAGTTCTACACAGTAACAGAAGTACACCACGTGTTGCAGTAGCAGTAGTACAAGGTGGACATGAGAGAGCAGCAGTGTAACACAAGTAATCCTGAGAATTACTACTTTGCAGACCATTTCAACAGACATGTTGACCTGCAGCGGGTTCATGACTGATATCATATCAAATGATAACATTTCTGTGTTTTCACTTTGGAGCCTTGGACTGAAGCCCTGACATGTGAGACAAGTGACAATGTCTGCTGTGATTAAAGTCTCCTGGTAGTAGTATTAGTATTAGTAGTAGTAGTAGTAGCTTTTGGGAGTTCATAAATCCACCCCGGTTGGGGCTACTGGTGGAGATGTGAGATGGGAACCTCCAAATGTCAGACACAGGGGTGAGCCTGCCTGAACATGGACATCCTGGGATTCATGAGATGAAATCATTGTTTTGTATGATTGATTCTTTTCATATTTTTCAAAGTAAATTAGTTTGCAGCATAATATTTCTGATGCTCAACATAAACTGTTTTAAATAAGGAAACATGGTCTAATGACTTTTGGTCTAAACCTACATTGTGATCATATTGTCAAAGGACGACGATGGGCTGAGCCTTATGTGAGGCACAAAGCTGGAGAAGTCCGTGTGCTCAGTTGCACTGCAGAACTTTTCCTTAGCGACTGCAACAGTCAGGTTCACTGGCTCATTGGTAGATAAAAGATAATGTTTGTGAACCGGCTGAGACTGAAGATGGACTCATGTCATATATCAGAGTTTATGGTTTCATGACTGAAGGATGCTCTTTTTGTAAAATGTCTTTGTACTTTTGTTTGATGGAAGACTAAGAAACTGGAGCTGTGTTTTAGAAAGGGAACTTTTTATGTGGCAGAGTTTCTCTGTAGAGCTTTGGACAGAAAACAAAGCCTTTGGTTTGTTTTGTAGTATAAGGACGACACTATGGCAAAGTTTGACATTTTTTTCTTTTTCATGGGAGCAGCAGTATTGGTGGTGTCTTGGTGGTGTCTTGTCCATGTGGGCTGGACATTTTGATGCACTACACAAATAAAATAACTGAATTAGAATCTGTATTTACAGGTTCAAAGCGCTTTACATACATGTCATCTTTGAAAAGGACAAACAAAAACATGTCAACAAATCAAATTAAAAGAATATAAAAAGAAAGAATATGTACATCTACTTAACATGTAGTAGAGTAGATTAGTATAGGCTGTTTTATATATATATATATGTACATATGTAGTTAATACAGATTCAGAGACAGGGTTTATGGATAAACTAAAAATAAAAACACAAAACAAAATACAAGAAACAAACACAGCACCAGAAAACACTGACAGTAGTCGCGGAAGTACAACAGTAGATGGCCACAGAGTTACCAGTAACAGTAACAGTAGTCCTACATGGTGGAGGTCGGTGTGAAGGTTTGACTCGTGAGCTCATGTTGGCACCATGATGTCAAGTCCAGTATGAGGTGGTGATAATGGTTCTAAAGGTCTAGGTGGAAATGAACTCTGGGAACAATCTAAAATAAATTATATCACATGTTCTCTAACAATACTGGATATTTAAATATAAAGGAGAGTTAAAGAGCTTGTACTCAGGAAATGAGACTGTGTCAGAAAACAGCTTAAAATACCGACACAGGCACAAGTTATTTTATGATATCAGAAATATCCTGACAAAAAAAATCACTTAAAGAACTTAAAGTAGTTAATTCAGGTCTTTAAGAGATTACTGTTAATCGATTATGTCAGGTTTGCCCGGCTGCACCTGCTTCTCCCACCTCCCTCTCTTACTACTTCTGTCTCGGTTCACTCCACGTTGCACACCTGCCACTGATTCCTTGATTAACATCAGCTGCATTCACTTAGTCCCTCATCCTACTTATACCCAGCTCACTTACCACTCCCTTGCCAGTTTGTCGTTGCTCTTGTGAGGCGTGTTCTTTTATTTTGAAAAGAGAAGACTAATAAAAGGATATTTCACACTGTGAAATTTATTATGCATTAACGTATCAAAATTAGTTTAAATATAAAGGAGAGTTTAACAGCTTGTACTCAGTCAGGAAATGAGACTGTATCAGAAAGCAGCTTAAAATACCAACACAGGTACAAGTTATTTTATGATATCAGAAATATCCTGACAAAAATCACTTAAAGAACTTAAATTTGTGAAAAGTGTATTTTAAAAGAAAAATCACAAAGAAAGATCAGCTCAGAACAAATGCAAACTAGGCTGTAAATAAATTTAGAAAACACATTTACAAAATAAGTAGGAAAGAAAGAAAATGTGTCTAAGTCTTGTTCAGACAGATGGGAGGTCTGAGGACCTGTCAGAAACCACGTGGCCCTCATCTGATCTGGCAGCTCGTCCTTGTTTGTCCTCAGCTGCCTCAGAGCGCCACTTCTCCCCAGGCTCACCAGAAGAAACATCGCCACACAAAATGCTTTTCCTCCCAGCTGCTGCTCTGTGCTGCCTGTGTTCAGGTGAGTGTTTCAGCCAATCAGGAGCCGACAAGCTGCACCTGTAACAGACACTGTCACACTAACCTTCATCTGTCTGGTTCTCTGCAGCGCTGGTCGCCATGGCAGCAGAGCTGGTTCAGGACCAGTTATCAGTGACCAGGAGAGAAAATGAAAAAGTCAACGAAACGAATTGACCAGTGTGATGACGACTGGATATACTGGTACCAGAAGAAAGACACAGAAACATTCAGAGTGATTCTGTACATTAGTAGTGGTGGAACTATATATAAAGGTTACAATCATCCTCAGAAAGATGATTTCACACCTATAAGAACACAGAACAGCTGTGAGCTGCACATAGAGAAAGTTAAGTTCTCTCATGCAGCCACCTACTACTGCGCCTGTGAAGTCTGGCTCCCACAGAGAGACATGATCCCTGCAGCCTGAACAAAAACCAACAGATGTCAAACAGTGTCTGTGACAGGAAGAGAGTAGTAAACCACAGGTTCATGTTTCATCTCCAGCTTAGCCTCTGTTTCTGTATTAGCATCTTATTTGTTGTATATTATTCAAAACTATTTACTTTTTTAAAATATATATATTTAGCAAATCCAGGATGTTCCCTGTTTTTCAACACAGTGACAAATAAGAAGAAATACAGAAGCACAAAAATAAAACAAGGTGAAGAACAAAATTAACTAAACCTATAAACCAAACAGGTCCAGGTTGTAGAGCAGCTCGTCTCCTAACCACAGAGCTTTGATCCCTGTATTCTCTGGTCCACGTGTTGAAGTGTCCTTGAGCGAGACAGTGAACCCCATGTTACTCCCTCTGGTTGTCCCATCGGTGTGGTGAGTGTTTGTGGCAGCTTGTCACAATCAGGTGTGTCTGTGTGTGTGTGTGTGTGTGTGTGTGTGAGCTCTCACAATGTGTAAAAAAGTGAAAACCAAAGTTTTTGACCAATTTAAATGTTGTCTAGATGAAAGTCAGAGGGCCACCCCAGTTCTTCCAGTTCATCATCAACACACTGGACCCACCATCACAGGCCACTGTTCTGTTTCCATCTCCAGCAGAAAAACACTGTTGGCTTTTATTTCATGGTGTCGCCACAATTGTTTCCTGACCTTAAGGTGATTAGTGATAAACAAGTGGTTAAAGTCATAGAAGAATCACAGTCAGAAGAAACAACATGACTCTGGATTTGTACTGGGAATCAAACAATAGCCTCCTGCAGTGTCCACTGGTTTGTCATCAACCTCCTTATCACACATCACCTGACTATCTGCTTGCAACACCAACAGCCTGAGCTGGTTTCATGGGAGGAGAGTTTTTATAGAACAAATTCAGTTTCCAGCACTGACCTGAACAGGACTGGTGACTTCCTGCTCCCAGAAGTATCAGATCAGGAAACACGTCTCTGTGTCTAGAGAAAAGCTATAAACTACAGAACGGCTGAAGACAAAGATCAGGGACATAAAGTCCTCAAGTCCAGGATAACGTGGTTTCTGTAAATCAGAGCCTTCAGTCATTTACTGTGTAAGAGGGTCACATCCCTGTTGACACCAGGCGAGAGGTGGGACACACCTGGACAGGTGGCTGGTTTATCACAGGGCTGACACACAGAGACAGACGACTGCTCATATTCACACCTACGGACAGTTTAGAGTCACCAGTCAAGCCATCCCACATGTATTTGGATGAAGCTGGAGAACCCAGAGGAAACCCACCCAGAAAGGCCCTGGTGAGGATTTGAACCCAGAACCTTCTTGCTGTGAGTTGACAGTACTAACTAACCACTGCCCCATCATGCCATGTGGCATTAAATATTTCACAGATGTTTCTAATAAAACAGCCTGTTCCCTCCGTTCTCAGACACCTTGTCTGCAGAAGTTTTAGAAATTACATTGTGTGTTTTCCAAAGTTAAACAATAAATTAGAACCAGAGCACGTGCTGCTGAGTACATTTATGAAAAAATGGATTTCAGGAAATGTCCATCTTTAGCATAGTAATATTTGCTAACATACTCATTAGTCCTAAAACCAGTAAAGCTGAGGCTGGTGGGACTGTCATTAGATCTGCAGGTGTCTGGTCCTAAACCAAAGTGTTGGAAACGTTAAACTGTGACCTGGTGGTGGCGCTAGATGAAAAGCCAGAGAGCATCAGAGTTCTTACAGTTCATCCTCAGGGGAACATGAACGTCTGAACCAGTTTCACTAGTTGTCAAGACATTTCTCTCTGGACAACAAAGAGGAGAAGAGCAGAGACAGTGGTGTTGATGGGAGCATTAGAGAAATGCATCATGGAGCTGAAACATGAAACCGGTTCATAACTTAGCTGGTTCACCTCAGAGGACGATGGATTTTGCATCACGCTCTGGCACTGTGGGAGGACATGAGTACCTCATCTTTGGCTCTGGAACTAAACTGTTTGTAACAGGTAAGACTTAACATTTATTCTCCTTCAGTTGTTTCACTGTGAAGTTGAAAATGTGTTTAAATCCATTTCTGCTGCTCCAGATTTTCATCATTAGTATAAAGTTTCCTTCTGCAGCCGTTGTTATACAGGAAAATCTCGAAGACATTTAAATCTCACGGAGCAGCTGAAATCATTCTTTATATAGAAATGTAATGAAAGAATTAAAAATTACAATTTTACCATCATTATAAATATTTTAAAACATTATCATTACAACCTGATAGTTGATCTGAAACTTAATATCTGACTGAAAATGTACAGAGCTGAATTTATTATTTTGTGTAAAATACTAACTATATTTTTAAATTTAAAATTCACCTCACGATAGTTTATATGAAGGTAAATGTGTTTGTAATACAAAATGTAACTATAATCATATTGTGATTTACTGTATGTACAGTTCACACTGCAGTTTTAACTTGTACTGCAGGCTGTTATGTATTTCATCATAAATTACTATAATGTGTAATGTTCAGTGGTTTTGCATATTGTTCTCTGGGGTGATAATTTATTTTAAAAATGTGAAATTTTTTTGGATAAACACTGAAATTATTTATTGTTTTGATGGTTTTTCATATTGATTAGATTATATGGTTGAAGATATGTTTCTTATAGTAAATATAATTTGTAATGACATGAATATATCCTTTATTATATTATCTATATTAATCATAATATTGAAAAAGTATGTTCATGTGTATAAAGACTAATGTCATGATGTGAGATGATAATGAGGTGAAACCAGAGTCCGTGTGGTTTCCAGGACCACAGTGAATGCAGTGCGGTGCTGGGAGCTGCTGCTGACTGTGTCAATGTGTCTGTGCTGCTTGTTGCTGCTGTCAAACTTCAGGTGAGCAGGTGGTGAAGCCCATGGTGAGCGTGTACCCAGCAGCATCTGGAGCCCAGCTGGAGGGGAACAGCTCCCTGCTGTGTGTGGCCTCAGCCATGTTTCCTCCTCTGGTCCAGTTCTCCTGGAAAAGGCAGAAGGAGAACGGTGCTCGGGAGGAGCTGCCGTCTGCTGAGGGAGAGCAGCTGGAGCTCAGAGAGTCGGGACGCGCCGCCACCATCTTGCTGGTTAATCGGGACGCTCTCCACACATATAAACACCACT